TATGTATCAGTCAGCTGCCAGTGCGTAACAACCATTCCCAAACTCTCTAGTTAGAGCATCTATACCGCGGCAAGAAGTTGGCCGATCCGCGCTGGCTCTTCTCCCTAAACTTGGTCACGGAGACTCGGGGCTCTTTCTGGGAGCCCGTCTGTGCACCTACATTCTTTCAGGTGTTTTCACAAAGGGGATTAAACCTGCCTTGGGTCTCCCCCATCCCCCAAGGTGGTATTGTAAGGCACACACTTCTGATTGGGTGAAAACCCGATTCCTTTTTCAACCCTGCAGTTTTGGGGGCTGTCCGTATCCTCTCTAAAATTCTGATTGCAAGCTGGCTCAGTCTTCTCTAAACTACCGTTTGTGTTGTTATTGATCAAATGCAGAGAGAAACAACCAGCCTGCAGCTGTGTTTTCCCACCCTTTCCCAACACCACAGGGGAACCAGGCACACTTCCCACCTTCCAGGTTATTGCAAGTCACATTGTAGCAACTGCTTCGCCACAAGGTAACATGGATCTCTATTTGTCCAGCCTCCTGATTCCAATTTTTTGTGCAGGAGAAAGTCCGAACGTGTCTGCCTGGCACAGAAGCCCCTCAGGAGGCCTTTGAAGCTCCTTTTCTTGTGTGTTCCTTCAGCACATTCTGCTTTCCAGTATAAATTGTCCTGAACATGTCCACTTATTGAGCGCCCTCTGTGAGGCTGATGGTCCCTCCCTCAGCCAGTTCTCCCTGCATATCTTCCTTTCTCTCCTCACACTTCCACGTTGTGACGCATAATTGTGCATTGAATTATCTAATTCTATAAATCCCCGCTCCCACCCCATTTGACTAGGACATCTTTGAGATTGTGAACCGTCTTTTATTTATCTCTGTCCTCAGGCTTGTAGTACACACTCAGAGGACCCAATAGGCAGCAGCTTAATTATGCCACATTCCAGCATAATAAATACATCGTAAATAAATTAAGAGAGAAAGGACTGACGGAGCCAGGCTAGCTGATAGCAGGAAGTGAAAGCTTCCCAAGCATCCCAGTGGGAGCTGGACAGAAACACATCATTCAGCAGCCGACTCTCACCTGCAGGACCGTGGAGACACAGCCTCACTGTCTGTGTCTGTGAGGGCCCCCCCCCACGTCACTGCTTAAAACTGGGATCTTGAATCAGGAAAATACACGGACATCTGAAAGAAAAAACATGCACACACGCATAACCTCTGTAAAACTCTTTCTTTTGGAGAAAAGGGCAAATCTCAACAACATCCTTTTTTTTTTTTTAAGCATTTACGGTTTTTCTGTTCTCTTTAGTTTGGTTAGGGCTGTTATCAATTCGTTTCCTTTTGTTGTTTTGATCAACACTTATATTCTTCTTTGAAAGCTTATTAAGACGGGTGCTAACAAAATAAATTATTATTTTTCTTAATTACCAGGTCCATATGGCATTTTACCTAAAACACCACTGCTTAGATTGGAAAGTTTTAATGGATGTTTTCTACACTTTTTGTCCTGGCGACAGGAACAGCATAGCACCCAGGGAATGACCATGATACCGTCTTTGCTGAAAAAAAAGTCTTCCAAGGCCATTTCATCTGTGGTTCTGTCGCTGGAAAGCTGTCATGGAAAACCATTTTAATCAAGGGCAGGCAGTGACGCTGGGTCGTGGGCTGAGTCCTGGAGGGAAGGAGGAGCAGGGGTGACCGCTTCACAAGAAGGAACCGATCCCGCGACAATAATGCGACATGAAACATCCCAGTCGTGGAATGCACCCTTTGGCCCACCAGCCTGGTCCACTCACCCACCCCACTGCTACGGAGTGTTCGAGGGGCACAGGAAAAGACCCAATTCTCACACTTCAAAATTGTATGAAAGGACGTGCCATGGGGCAGCAAACAAAACCAAATGTTGGAAAGGAAGTCAGTCAGCAGCAAAGTGAAGCAAATAAAACAGGAAGAGAAGAGACAGAGAGGCAGAATTCATAAATAGTATCTAGACTCAAGACCTGACACAAGGAACATCATTAAGCTTCTGGTTAGCTTCTTGGAAGGAAATCACTTGAAACCAAACACAGGCACATTTCTGGCTCTTCTGGGGTTCGTTTTTTTGTTAAGATTTACTTATTTATTTTAGAGAGAGAGGGCACGAGTGGGAGGAGCAGAGAGAGAATCTCAAGCAGACTCCCCGCTGAGCACCAGTCCAACTCGGGATTCGATCACATGACCCTGAGATCATGACCTGAGCCGAAATCAAGAGTTGGCCGCTCAACCAAGTGAGCCACCCAGGCACCCAGAAGTTCGTTTTAATGATAGAAACAGAGATTTTTTAAAAAGAAGAAAAAGCAACTCGTTTTGGATGAATGTACTTGGCAGATATGAACTTGATCACTCTGATTTCCAGTGAGTGTACTTGCAGCTTAGGATCAGCCTGGGACCCGTGAGATCGGACCTCCTAGGCCCTTGTCTTTGGGGCGTCTTCCTTCCCCAAGTACGGGTGGGCCATCAACTACCTGGGACTCTGCAGAAAGACACATTGTTGTTTCGTTGTGTAGTGATGGGTTTGCCTTTCTGGGCAGCCAGTCCCTGATGGAGGTGAAGCTGGGGGTGTGGACCAGCTCTGAGGGGCCGGGTGGACTGCAGCCAACAGAGGGAACTGGGTTCGGGTGGGCAAAGGAAGGGGCCACCCTCCCCTCCAACCATCCCAGCACCTTCCTCTGCAAGCTCCCCAGGATAACACAGTAGGGAAGCCGACTCTGCTGTTTCTCGCCACCCCCCCCCACAGAATCCTCAGGAATCTTCCTCTCCACTGGCTCCTCCCCACCCCCATCCTTCTGTCCTGAGGGGGCCCTCCTGCCACCCCACTGGAAGTCAGGCAGAACCAGAGCATCCTCTGTGTCATCAGCAGATGGTGCTCCTGTTTCGGGGCGAGCCCCACACAGGGCCGACTTCGGGGGGCCTCGGGGTCCCACAGCTCCTCTTTGTCCTTGCAGGACAGGGTCCTCGCGGGCAAGCACAGACTGAAGGTGCATTCTGTTCCTGTCCTGGACCTTATTTCTGTCCGCTTGGAAGCTGTACAGTACTACCTTGGGTCTCACCACCGGCCCCCGGACTTATAAAGCCGTCTTGTGCAGGAGCTCAAAAAAAGCCCTTTCCTTGCCAAAACCACAGCGATGAAGGGAGCAGTGAGCGACAGCTCGTTTAAAAACCCGGGGTGAAAGGCACGTCTGTTCCTTGACAAGATGTCTGTATGTGATAAACCCAAAGGGCGATCTGTATGAATACTTACTTCTGTCCAGAAACGACAGCATCCCACACAAGCATTTGCTTCCCAATTAACAGAAATAACTTCGCGGGATTCCTGCATTAGGGCGCTCCCACGAGCGGGTGCACACGGAGTTTCAGCTGCAGTTGCGAAACACAGACAGTTGGAAATTATTACACACAAAACCGGACACTCAGTGAGTCCGCTATGTTTATACTGATGAGTGGAACCCAGCTCCTAAAGCCTTGAAATTACCCCCGAAAACGGGGCAAACCCAAGCGAAAACTATTTTACAAAATCATGTTAGGGAGAAGAAAACTTCTTTACCAAAAAAAAAAAAAAAAAAAAACCCAAAAAACAAAAAACAAAAATGCCAGAAAACCAAAATCAAAACCAAAAACAGAGTGCATGTGTGCACTGTGTAAGATTAAACGACCCGGTTAAACGGAAATAAGCTAGCGGGAGGGGGGGCAAAAGGTCATTCAGGTAATTAATTGCACCTCCAACACAACAGATTTATTATTTCTGCAGTAAACGCAGTTTGTTCTCATGCCAAAGAGCTGACGTTTAAAAGAGTTGCTCGCGTCCAACGCTTGGTAAACAAAATTAACGTAAACGGGGCCTTTCACGATCTGAAGTTACCCTTTTAACGTAGAAACTGCCTGCCTAGGCTCGCGCTCGCTCCGACCTCCGCCGCGCGCACGCTCGTCCCCGTACTCGGCGGGCACGCACTGCGCATGCCCGCCAGCCAGCCACGGCCGGGCCTCCGGCTCGCTCCCGGCGGGCACGCACTGCGCATGCCCGCCCCCGCCCCCTCCGAACCGCCTGGCTCCCTGCTCGCTCTCGGCGGGCACGCACTGCGCATGCTCAAGTTGCCGGGCAACACCCCCCCCCACCACCGTGAGCACGCACGCGGGGCGCCTGCTCCCACCTCCCCGGCCCTCAGGTCGCCTCGCGGGCGTAGGTTGCACCCCTACAAAGCCAAAAATCAGGAAGACCTCGTGTGGGGCCGCCGCCACCCCGTCCCCGTCCCCACCGAGCCTCTAAACGGCCCCCCCCTTGCATCAAAGCCCAACCCCCAGCCAAGGACCCCGCAGGCCGCTGCGTCCGAAGCCAGGGAGGCGTGCGTGCTGGCGTGCGGCGCCTGTGGCCGCCGTGATGACGCCACGCGTCGCGGTGACGCACGACGTAGGCGACCTTGTTTGGGAAGGCGGCCGGCGCGCCCGTTTTGAAGCTGCCCGGAGCTGCGCGGGCCTAGCGGCGCTCCTGCCGACCCTTCGCCGGGCCCGGGCGTCCGCGCAGCCGCCGAGACGCCGGCGCCGCCCGCAGCCTGGACCTCCGGCGGGCCGGGCACTGCCCGCACCCGCGCCCCCTCGCCCCCTCGCTCCCTCGCCCCCTCGTCGGGCTGGGCCGGGCCGGGCCGCCGCCTGCTCCCGGGACCTCGGGCTCCGGGCCCGCGAACCCCGCCTCCCGGGACCCCAGGACCCGGGCTTCAGGCCCGAGACCCCTCGCCTTCCCGGGACCCCAGGACCCCGGGACCCGGGCTCCAGACCCGCCACCCCAGCCTTCCCTAGGACCCGGGCTCCAGGCCCGCGACCCCGCCCCCTGGGGACCCCCCAGACCCCTGGACCCGGGGCCCGCGACCCCCGCCTGCAGCCATCGTCTGCTCCGCCGACGTCCATTCAGGCCTGACTTGGGTTCCTGGCGCCAGGCAGGCGTGCAGGAGGAAGAGGCTCTTCGGGAAGGAGGGTCCACGCTTTGGAGATGCCGCCCGGCAAAGTCCTGCAGCCCGTCCTCAAGATGAAGGTGGACGAGCTGTTCCTGTGCTGGCTCAGCGAGTCCAGCACGCAGACGATGCTCCAGGACTGTCTGCAGAGGATCAAGATGCCCGGGAGGACTGAGACGGACGGTGGGGACGCAGGGCAGCCCGGGCCCCCGCTAGCAGCCGCAGCCCCCGTCTGCAAGCCCGCGGTGTTCGATAGCCTGGGGGCGCCCAGCCCGGCCCCCGCGTCCACCGCGCTCCCGCTGGGAGCCGCCGCTAGTCCCAGGACCGGGCCACCCGTGCGAGGGACTCGGAGATCCGCAGGGACGCGAGTAGTAAGTTATGCTTCACTTCTGCTAAGTCGGGTGCATAGCGACCTGGGGCTCAGGGGTGCGGGGAGCGTCACACGTGAAAACACTCACATTTGCGCGGTTTTTCCCCCAAACGAAGCCCTATGTGCTGAAACATTCTGACATTGCCGGAGCCCCATGCTGGTCCTCGGGTGGGAATTTTGGAGTTCCTTTCGAGTCTTTCCGAGTTTTGGTCTTCGGTGCCCACTTCACAGTTTCTTCTCCGCTTAAGTAATGAACCTAGAGGTTTTATCCTTCATTTGTCTGGTTTTCTCCTTAAATTGTGTGCAGTAGTTGCAGTCAGACAGCCATGTACCAAAAAAGAGGTTGGTTTCTGGTGCGTAATCCTGTGTGCGTTCGAAGTCACAAAATGCTGGCTCCGGGTGTTGCGGCAAGTGTGGTGGCTGGTGCGTACGATGGACCTGCAATACTCCTGAAGCCGGAAATGTTAACGTTGCATCCGAACCTGTTTATGACATTGAAGACGTTTCCGTTGGAGCTAGTGTCCCATCAGCAACACGAACCGTATGGTAGCATCACTCGTTTGATAGCTTCCTGACCCCAACGGACCAGCCGCTAAGGGCAGATTGTGAGGTGCTCCTCCCTGCAGGAAAACTCATTTGGCTCTCAATTACTGGTGTTTTTCTGGCGTGTTCCAGCGGACCCGACGACCTTTCCCAGAAAGTAAGTCTGCACAGAGAGTGGGAACTGGGCCCAAAGGCCACGCTAGACACCACCTGGCTTAGACCCTCTAGGGAACCCCACAGGAAGGCTTGTCTGCACCTTGCAGGGCCCCCGGACCATCCCTTGAGCTCTGGTCAGTCACTTTCCCACTGCACCGCAGAACCTTAGTGCTGGGGGCAGTTTTGCCCGAATCACTCGTTTAACAGAGGCCTCGAGATCTGTGAGAAGGGCCAGCGCTCAGAAGGGTTCTTCCTGTAGGGACAGTGGTTTCCCTCCCCACGATGGCATCCGTACTCCCCCTGGACGGCCAAGGTCTCATTCAGCAAGCTGCCTGCTTGTCGGTAAATAGGTTTCGGCGCTGAGGCCGAGCACCACTCACAGGTGAATTCTTGTATTTTGTGACACCGTGACGTCGTGGGAACCCCTTGGGACTGCAGGTGTTGGCAAGTCAGCCCTGCTGGAGGAGGGCCACTTGGATGCCTTGAAAAGGACATATTTCTGTAAAGTAGGCCACAGAGGCACGCAGCCCGGGGAATTACGTTCCTCAGGTGTTCCGAGCACGGAGAGGTGGTTTCTGTCAACTGGGAGAGAGGTTGGGCAGGAAGGGGGCCTGCCACTTGGGGGAGGCACTGAATTGAGCGAGGAGAAGGCAGGGGGCACGGGGAGGGGAGGTTCAGAGTGGAGATCCGATGTCCAGTCTTCCCCAGAGGCCGTACTGGTCTGACTGCGGAAGGCAGGCTGCTGGGCCGGGTCTGTGCATGGCCACCTGTGGGATTGGGTAGCACGCAGCACTCTGGGCCGAGGATGCTGGACCTGCTTCCACGGCTGGCCGCTAGCGCTTCCGAAAGGTGCGCACATGGTGGGGCTGGTGTGTGATCACGATTCTCCTGGTAAGTCGGTTGAGCCTCCGACTCTTGGTTTCGGCTCCAGTCCTGATCTCGGGGTCGTGAGATCCAGCCCCATTGGGCTCCGCGCTCACTGTGGACTCCACTTGAGATTGTCTGCCTCTCCGTCCGCCCCTTCTCTTGCTCCCCAAACAGGGTTCACACAGTGCTGATGCGTGCAGCCATGTGTCTGGAACCCTGAGGCCTGAGCTGAGTGGGCGGTGCAGCGCGTGGGAGCTCGGGACGCAGGGGGAGGTGTGGGTAAGGCTTGGTGGGAATTGCGTCCTGAGGAAATCCGAGATTCCTCCTCTGCTTTAAAGTTTCCACGACCAGCACGTGCCGCGCTTTTGAGGAACAGCAGAATGCTTTGTCTTTTCCCCCCGCCGAGGTCACAAAATAGTGATGGCTCTCGTCTGGGATGTGGAGTTGGCTTTAAACACATCTTCGCGTGTGTGGAATTTACGGACCGTTTCAGTTGAATTTAGGGAAGTGAACTGCCAAGGGGACCCATGTTCTCATGGGGACCAGATGCGAGGGGCCCATTCCTGTGCTCCCCGTCCACGCATTGTGTCAGGCGGTGTTTACCAAGACCCGGTTCCCAAGGGCCAACTGGCAGGGGACGGACGGGTGACGCTCCCGGGTATGCACAGGAGGTTTCATAGATGACACATCTTTTCTCCAGAGTGCACAGACACCCAAGGACTGACCGCCAGCCACCAGCAGCTCCTTTTCACCCCTGCCCCGTGTAATTCCCCGGCTTAGAGGAAGAGGAGACCAGGGAGTCCACACACCCTGAGTGTCCGACTGCCCTGTTACCTTCCCTGCCCCAGGGATGTGCACCACACACACTTGGCTCGATGCCTCTGGCAAACACATTACATGCAACAGGCACTTGGAGTGTCTCCCACCTGTCTCCACAGAGGGAAAGCTGAGTGCTGAACTGCAGGGGCTCCATGGGTCCCTCACCACGATCCCAACCAGGCAAAGCCCTGAACAAGCTTCTAAGGGAGTTCTTCCTAGGGAGTCAGAGCTTAGCCTGCATGTGCTGTCTCTGCACCTACTTCCTACCCCAGTAACGATGCCCAGCAGAGGAAGACTCTGCCACAGCCTGTGCACCTGACTTTCAAATGTACAGCACTTGCTCCGGGGCCTCCTTCCTACTGCTCCCCCACAGTGGTCAGTATCCCAGTGACCTTGCCCAGTGGCAAGTTCAGACTCTCGCAGGGGCCCCTTCCTACTCCTTCTCCACAGTGGTCAGTATCTCAGTGACCTTGCCCAGCAGATAGTTCACACTCTTGCTGAGCCCCCTTCCTACTCCATCCCCCGAGTGGTCAATACCTCAGTGACTTTGCCTAGTGGCAACTTCAGACTCTCGCAGGGGCTCCTTCCTACTCCTCCCCCACAGTGGTCAGTATCCCAGTGACCTTGCCCAGCGGCAAGTTCAGACCTCAGTGGGACTCCTTCCTACTCCTTCTCCACAGTGGTCAGTAGTGACCTTGCCCAGCGGCTAGTTCAGACTCTCGCAGGGGCTCCTTCCTACTCCTTCCCCCCAGTGGTCGGTATCCCAGTGACCTTGCCCAGCAGCAAGCTCAGACCTCAGTGGGACTCCTTCCTACTCCTTCACCACAGTGGTCAGTAGTGACCTTGCCCAGCGGCTAGTTCAGACTCAATGGGGCTTCTTCCTGCTCCTTCTCCACAGTGGTCAGTATCTCAGTGACCTTGCCCAGCAGCTACTTCACACTCTTGCTGGGCCCCCTTCCTACTCCATCACCCCAGTGGTCGGTATCCCAGTGACCTTGCCCAGCAGCAACTTCATACTCTCGCAGGGACTCCTTCCTACTCCTCCCCCATAGTGGTCAGCATCCCAGTGACCTTGCCCAGCGGCAAGTTCAGACTCAGTGGAATTCCTTCCTACTCCTTCCCCCCAGTGGTCGGTATCCCAGTGACCTTGCCCAGCGGCAAGTTCAGACCTCAGTGGGACTCCTTCCTACTCCTTCACCACAGTGGTCAGTAGTGACCTTGCCCAGCGGCTAGTTCAGAGTCAGTGGGGCCCCTTCCTACTCCTTCTCCACAGTGGTAGTATCCCAGTGACCTTGCCCAGCGGCAACTTCAGACTCTCCCAGGGGCTCCTTCCTACTACTCCACCGTGGTCAGTAGTGACCTTGCCCAGCGGCTAGTTCTGACTCAGTGGGGCTCCTTTCTACTCCTTCTCCACAGTGGTCAGTACCTCAGTGACCTTGCCCAGTGGCAAGCTCAGACCTCAGTGACCTTGCCCAGCGGCTGGTCAGACTCAATGGGTCTCCTTCCTACACCTTCTCCACAGTGGTCAGTATCCTCGTGACCTTTCCCAGCAGGTAGGTCAGACTCAGTGGGGCTTCTTCCTGCTCCTTCTCCACACAGGTCAGTACCTCAGTGACCTTGCCCAGCAGCTACTTCACACTCTTGCTGTGCCACCTTCCTATTCCATCCCCCGAGTGGTCAGTATCTCAGTGACCCTGCCCAGCGGCTAGTTCAGACTCTCGTAGGGACTCCTTCCTCCTCCTTCCCCTGCAGTGGTCAGTATCCCAGTGACCCTGGCCAGTGGCAAGTTTAGACTCAATGGGGCTCCTTCCTACTCCTTCTCCACAACGATCAATATCCTAGTGACCTTGCCCAACGGCTAGTTCAGACTCTCGTAGGGGCTCCTTCTTACTCCTTCCCCCACAGTGGTCAGTATCCCACTACCTTCTGCCACATTAATTCATCCTTCACACGAGTCTGACAGGAAAGGATTTGATGTGTACTTAGGGTAGAACATAATTCTAGTGACACTTTAGTCTAGCACCACGTTTCAGAGCATTTTCAGCTTGTAGGGCTGAGGAGCTCCTTGCTAACCCTTGTGGACTTCAAGCAGAGCTGTCTGCTAATGCATTAGGGGATGTGAATTTTTCACCTACTACAAGCATCAGCAAATACAACTTTGGCCGTAAAATCTGACGTCCTTAAATTTAAGGGCTCTTGTGGATAGTTTTTTTTTCACCTGCTCTTCGGCCATCGTGACACCCCTATTCAAATCCTCTCTTTATACATAACCTGGATGCAAGTCCTTTGTAAGATAATTGTTTTGCAGGAGGTGGGGGTGCTCAGGGGCTCCGTGAGGAGGTAGGGGTGCGCAGGGGCTCCATTATGAGGACGTAGGGGGTGCGCAGGGGTCCATCATGAGGAGGTAGGGGTTTGCAGGGGCTCCGTGAGGAGGTAGGGGGTGCGCAGGGGCTCCATCAGGAGGTAGGGGGTGCACAAGGGCTCCATCATGAGGACGTAGGGGGTGGGCAGGGGCTCTGTGAGGAGGTAGGGGGTATGCAGGAGCTCCATCATGAGGAGGTAGGGGGTGCGCAGGGCCTCCGTCATGAGGAGGTAGGGGGTGCGCAGGGCCTCCGT